TTTATCTTCCTACTCCCCCGCCCCGCCACTCCATAATCGCCTGATTTCTCCATACCTAAAATCTGTTGCTCAAAAGGAGGCATTAGACAATTTTGTAAGCTATCTTAAGTCTCCTTTAGAAGTTCACTATACATAATCAAAGCAGATGTCAGTAGAGTTCATAATAAAAATTTTACAAAGTAAAGCTGGGGATATAACTCAGCAGCACTGCACCTGCCTGGCAAGGGCTAAGTGCTGAGTTTGATTCCCGGTACCAAAAAAATTTTTTTACACTACGTATACTAGACAATGTACATTCATGATATAATTTAACAGCACCTTTTCGACAAACTAAAATAAGAGCCAATTACTCTTATTTACATAAAATGTCCAGGGTCACATAGCTGATAAGAGGAAGGGCTAAATCTAAACCCAGTTTTTTATGATTTAGAATCTATTCATGTAAAGTCTGGACTATCTGCTCTATATTCACTTTCCATTGAGTTTTAAAAATACTTTCAAATAAGTTATCTAGTTTTTCTTCATTGAAACTCACAATATCGTTGAGAGAAAGGTTTCTAAGTGTCAAACCCCTACCACTCCACTTTAAGAGCATGTAATAAGGTAGCAGAACTGAATGAAGATCTTTTGACTATGGGATGTAGTGCCACGTGTCTATAATCCTAGCTACTACTTGGGAGGCTGAGGCAGGAGGATCACAAATTCCAGTCCAGTTTAGGCAACTTAGTGAAATCTTGATTTAAAAAAAAAAGTATTTTTAATGGGTAGGGAACATAGCTCAGTAGTGGAGCGCTTGCCTCACACGTACAAGGCTGGGGTTCAGTCCTCTGTACAGCCAAAATTAAAAAAAAAAATCTTCTGATTTTTAGTCTAGCAGCATGCCACTTGTGGCTTATGCAGTCACTTTTCATTTAGTACAACTCATGCCTCTTCCCTTCCCTCTCATATCTGGATGACCACCATGCCCACTGGTAAACATGTTCACCACATGTAAGGTTTATGCCTATTCTATTGATCGTGATCTGGAAAGTTATTACTGACTTTTTTTAAAGGATGCTAATTCTTAGTGGACAACCTTAGAAGGAGCTATGACCCAAAGTGGTTTAATCTTATTTGACTGTTCAATACTCATTCGATACCAGTTACTTCAGCATTCTTTCACACAAGATCCTTGGACTCCTAGGAGCTTTCCAGTTTACTGAGCAAAAGCCTAGCAAACAGTGTGCCAGAAGTGAAAAGAAAAATAGAAAACATTATATAACAGTCCATAAGACTGGGTGGCTCTAACTCTGGGGAAAGAAGCATTCTCGGAGGTATTGATAATGATACTCTACTCTATAAAGGGAGTGAAAACCAGACCTCAGAATCAGAAAACAAGTGTCAGGGCCCTAACCAAAAAACAAAAATATAAATAAAATGTCCTCCAAACTTCCAATCACTTGTGCATCTTGTTCATGAACTGTGTATTTGAAGCTTTTTTTACATCCAACATCTGCAGCGATTCAGTTACCAACCCTGCTGCTAATCTTCCAGTCTTCATCGTGGTCTAAGGAACTGCTGTCTTTTTTTTTTTCTTATCTTTTTGAAAGAGGGTCTCGCTATGCAGTTCAGGCTGGTCTTGAGCTCACTTTGTAGCCCAGGCTGGTCTCGAACTCGCAAAGATCCTCCTGCCTCAGCCTCCCGAGTGCTGGGATTACGTGTGCTTCACCACGCCTGGCTGTTACTGCTTTCTTAAGTTCCCTAAAACTGGAAAAATTGTGAAGTAAAACTGCACACTCATTCAACCTCTTTCGAACTGACATTTTCCTCTCTAGTACTGAGTACTTTTTGACTGGTTTTCTCTTGTCCGTTTGGTGCACCTGGACAGAACCAGTTTGGACTTCCAGAGCACTAGTGACTGTTCTTATTTGATGGGAGGTCTCCAGGGCAAGGAAGCAACACTACTTATTTTTTTCTTTCCTCTAGAGATCAGGAGAACCTCACTGTGGAGAAAAGTCATGGCTAAAATTACAGTACTGTATTTATATCTATAACAGGCCTGGCTATACAAACCTATCAATAGTAGGGGTCATAAACACAAAATGCTAAAATTGTAAATCCACAAAAGACAACAGTGATTTTCTTTATTACCTGGCCAAGCCAAGACCAAGGTTATGTTTTCTGCTAAGGAGTATCGATAGGCCAGTTTTTCTGTTTTGTTATATTGCTACTATCATAGAGTTTTCACTTTTATCTCTCCTTAATGAAATAAGACCCATTTATTATAGAGAATTTGGAAGATAGAGAAAAACAAGTCAGTTGCATTCACTACTCAAAGACAATGATTCTATCTTCATTTTTTCAGTCGACTTTTTAGTAGATTCCTCAATTATACTGGCTAGAAAACTACAAGATTTAACAGAATGATTTTTCTTATCAAGAAAATGTGATTTAAAATTTAAAAAGCAAATTTCTATTCAAAGAAACAACTCTTTAAGTTGGCATATTAAATTTAACCCCAGACTAAAACACATTCTTTCCTAAAGCACAATGTTTGGGATCCAAACATTGGCTACGCCATGATACACAAAATGAGAGTACACCGGGCTGAGCAAATACCTGGGCAAAACAATTTCTATATTTTCACAAAATACTATTCTACGGAATCAGGTCACCTAGAGTTTTACAGATGGAGAAAGCTAAGGAGCAATACAAGTGCTACTTAACACAAATTTACCAGAAAGCTGGTCAAGAAATAACTGCCTCGCAATTTAGACGGATTTTAGGGAGCAACGGCAGAGGAGGAGACGAAAGGCAGAAAATATAAAGCCAGCAATATCCTGACTTAATCTTCTTGCCTTTTAAATCATGATCAAACAGACTTGGTCCTGCAGATCAACAACATCTTTCAACGCTTCCCTATTCAATCGAGACTTGGCATTATCAACACCGTTTTGAACACGGTACATTTTAATTTCTTCGACTATCTTTTGTCCCCGAGAAGAAAATGGTAAAAGCTCCGCTTTCTAGTCTTCCCCGGAGCATGAGAAAATCCACAGAACTTTTCTTGAAAGGATGTCAGATAAAACCCTTAAGATTACTGGAAAATCACATTTGGATAGAAGCTTTTCGGTGACTGCAGCGAGGGCTCCGTCAGTGATGTTCCCTCCCCAGCCTGTCTCACTGGAGACGCCTCTGCCTGTAGGGAGTTTTCCTACCTGCCTGCTCACCCGGGTGAGGGCGTTAGCCGAAGAACGAGCTTTGGGGAACGAGACCTAGGGGCTGCTGCAGACCCCAAGGAAGGGCTGAAGCACTCCCACCACCGGGAGCTCCAAAGACTTCAGTAGGGAACCATAATGGCCGCACTCACTTTCAACCTCGGGAAAGCTGGTCCTTTCAACTCCTAGGTAGAGGGGCGACCACAGCGAGGGGTCGGGGGTCAGGAGATCCGGAGAAATGAGCTCCCGGCCAGGGTAGGATGACAGCGGAGAGGATGCCCCAAGGAGCTAAGGCCGCCATTCATACGGTCCCCTCCTTTACTGCCTCCACCCGCTCCACCACCCGACTCAGTCACGAGATCCCCGCTCACCTGCTTGGACTGAAGCAGCAGAAACTGTCCCGACCACCGACCCCGAGGCTCTGTCACTGTGGGAGGGGAAGTCTTCAGCTGCAGGGGGGGCGGTTCTAGCTAGACACGTGACCACGAGCTCCGCCCTGCCACCCCCATCCTGGCGCGCGGCGTCTTGCGTACTTGAATCTTAGCGGATCGCTTGAATATTAACTTTTTGCGATGAAAGGAAAACGCAAACATAAATTTTTTACAAAGACTGCGTTGTAAGCTGCAATGCAGAAAGCGAGGATGGAAAGGGTTAAGGAGCATCGCTAAGGAAGTGACGTTCAAGCCTTGATCTAGAGACCGGAAATGGCGACAGAGTTCCGTCCTTCTGGGCCCGGCCGGCAAAATCCAGGGCTGTGAGGTTTGGGCCAGTCACGTGATTGCACAACTTGCTGTGTGCCGGAGAGCAGCCAAGTTACCCGGACGATTGTTAATTACGTTAGTTTTTAAACATCACCTAAAGTACTTCATTTTTCCAGACTTCTTTACATTTATAAGGGTCAGATAAAACTCTATTAGGAGACAAGAGCGTTTGAAGGTCACTCTGGAGACGCCCGACTGCGAAGAATGGGGTCGGGAAAGATTGACCTTGCCGATGTGGAAGAGGGGTGGGAAAATCCGGATTTTACCGCCAGGGCCTACCAAGCAAGCCCCACAAGAAATGCCGCAAAGGATGGGAGGCGGGGCTTGACGCCCGGAGGCCCAGCCCGGGAGAAAGATGGAGGCCCCGGAGTGGAGGGGGAAGGGAGCGCCGAGGCCAGCAGTGCGCCTGCGCGCGAGGCGGCAGCCGCACCGCGCGCAGAGGGGGCGGGGTGAAAGGTCACAGCGCGGCGGCGGGGCTGGCGGCGGCGGCGGGAGCGGAGCGCCCCGTGTGCACGTGCGGAGCGGCGGCCGTACCTGCGCGCCCGCGGGACACGTCCGCGCCCTCCGCGCAGATTCAGGGCCGCGCTCGACTCTCGCGGCCTCCGTCACCCGCTCAACTCCCTGCCCTAGGCGAGGAGGCCGGCTTGGGTTGAGGGGCCCGAGCCGAGGGCGCGGAGAGCTCGGGGCGGCGAGGACGACGGCGTGGCGAGTGCTGGTAACGACGGCCTCAGCAGGCGGGGAAGATGAAAGGGTGAGGAAGGGCGGCCGGCCGGGCGCGGGGAAACGGCGCGCGGCGAGGGCGGGGAGAGCCAGGGCGAAGCCGGCGGTGGGAGAGTTCGCGCGCCTCGGTCCAACTCCGGCCGCGGAGGGGGCGGAGGCGAGGCGAGGCTGTTGGCGGGCTGGAAGGCGGCGGCGGCGGGCGAGGGCGCCGGGACGCGGCCCGGGAGTGGGCGCCGGGGCCGGGGAGCGCTATTGTGAGGCGCGGGGCCTCCTGCCGGCTGCGCGCGGCCCGCCGCTTCGGGTGCCGCCGTCCGCTTGTCCTGTTGTCCGGGTCCCGGCTGGATGGACGCTGGGACGGCGGGGTTTGACACCTTCCGGTTTTTTTCCCACGCAGAACCTTCTGGATGGAGCAGGAATTGGAATAAGGAGCATGGGGATGAGTATTAAGAGATAGTGACTCAACTAGAACTGGGCTGGGTCAGAGCGAGTGGAGGAGGGGGAACGAGCCCGATTTGGGGTGCCGGCATGTTTGAGGAAGTGTTTCCATCGGTAGGTGGAGCTCTTGCTCCGGTGGTTTGAATTGCCCCGGACTTCTGTGAGGGGCGCCTGGCTTGCTGTGCTTTTTCTTCAATCTGTTGGGAAGTTAAGCTTCGATCTTGCAGTCTCTCACTTGGATGAAATGAGGGATTATTTTGGTTTAACTGTTTCCCTTCGGATAAAATGTCCTCTTAGTATTAAGTTATGCACTGTTAAAATACCAGTTACACAGCGCTGTGTAAAGCAGTGCTTTAAAAAGCCGCTTTGGAGTTTGCTTTTACAGGCTTTGGAGAATGAAATGGAAGCTTGTGAGTATTCAAAGCTTTCTCGGACGTGTCGAGGTGGTTTTTTCTTATCATGAATTGATTAGAGAATTGTAACTGCTAAAGTTAGGGAAAGTATTCAAACTGTTCATCAGCTTTTTTGAGAGTGAAATAAGTCACTTTTCGAAGTAATCTCTTGCTACCTAAATAAGGGTCTAAGTAGTATTTCCGTGTATCTGAATTTGAAGTCACATAAAAGATTCTGACAGTTTAATTTGATCTTAGGTCTGTTATTTGGTTTATTCTGATTTTGCTTTAAGTACTGCATATTCGTTGCAGTGCTGAATTGCCTATCGGGGAAATACTTGCTGCGCTTGAATCTTGATCCAGTGAGTTTGACTGTTTCATGTGTTATCCAACATTTAGGGAGTCTTGTTTTTTTAGTAGATTGTATTCCTTCACTATAGATGTCCTCTTAGTCATTTTTTGTATTCTCAATGCCACGTACTCAATACATGCTTGTCACGTTCTGTTAAAGTAATAAAAAGGCTCAGCCGGGCATGGTCGCGCACTCCTATAATCCCAGCACTCAGAAGGCTGAGGCAGGAGGACCGTTGAGAGTTCGAGACCAGGCTGGGCTACAAAGTGAGCCCAAAGCCAGCCTGAACTTTATAGCGAGTCCCTGTCTCAAAAAGACCAAAAAAAAAAAAAAAAAGTAATAAAAAGGCTCAAGAGTTTCTCGTGTTGAAATTGCTATGGATTTGTAAAGGAGAAGTCCCCCAAGAGATTATTCTGGATGTGCAGATCCAAAATTTAGCTCAGTCCATACCTAACTTGGCAATGGAAACGAGGCCAGTGATACTATTCACAGCCTGAATTAATACATTCATGAAACAATTCTTTTCATTCTAAGTGAATACGTAAGTGTAACCCCATCAAATAACGAAATGGACAAGTTCATAGGGGATTTTTTTTTTTTTTTGGTAATGGTGGTTGTGGTGCTAACCCAGAGCCTCAGGCATGCTAGAGAAGCACCGTACTGCAGAACTACATTTCCAGCCCTAAATTTGGAGGAAAGTTGAGTTACTGAAATCTTTTCTTAAGCAACCTTGTATTAAATGTTGCTTTCTTTAGCTGAGGTTACTTGTTTTTATGAACCAGGGACATTGTGGCTTGAATTTGTGAATGATAAGCTGATTATTTTTATCTGTTAGTCCTTTCTAGAGAAGGAGATACTCGAGTGAGATGTTTGCCATAGACAGCCATGACTGTGGTGGCAATGTAATTAGTCCACAGTGTAACAGAAAGTAAAACTGAAACCTTTTATCCTTCAATTTTAGTAAAGAGGTACAAATTAGTTCTAATAAAAATGGCTTTAACATGAATACTTGTGAACACAGTTACCAAAGTATAAGCAGAAAAGTAGGTGGCAATATTATGAATACACAACAGTGTAGTTCATTATTTAAAATGCTTAAGCCATTTTGACCAAATGTTATTAGAAAATACAATGGAAATATAAGATCCTGCAGTCAGAAACAAAGCTATGTTGAACAATTCAATTAATACTTTCCTCTGGTAGCATTTAGACTAGGTAGGGGCACAGGGAAGTGCTGGAAGTACCCTATGTGTTTATCTGTGTGTTAATTGATTACATAGGACACATATGTGTATACATATACAGTATATGTAAAGTAAGTTGTAAATGAGATTTGTGGTCTTTTTGAATGTATCTTCTATGTCAGTAAAACTTTTTTTCCTATGATTATATTACTGTTTTTGTCAACAAGAAAAAGCCAGTCAGGCTAAAATAGCGTTTGACAACTTTTATAATTCTGCAATTCAAACTTTTTTGCTTTGTGAAACCAATAACCTGTGCTTGTTGATTGAGATACTGAATCTTAACAAATACTTTGTAAGAGAACAATTCACATAAAAACCTACATATGTTACAATTTTGTTTTCTTTTTCTTTTTTTTTTTTTTTTTTTGAGCCGATCTTGCTGTATAGTTCAGACTGGCCTTGAATTCATAGCAGTCCTGCCTCAGCCTCCCAAGTGCTGGGATTACAGGCTACAATTTTCTAAAAAAATGTCAGTTTAATGCCCTATTACAGAGGAGAAATGAGAAGGAAATGATAAAAGCTCTGTATGCAATGGTCAGGTACAACTAAAGGGCACAACAAAGAGTCAGTTGTTTGCGTCTGTCTGTAAGAAGAATCATTGTATAATTTAGAAAGTATCTGTCACCTACACAGTTTGGGTATTGGTGACCCATGCTGTGTTGCCATTAGTGGTATGATTTCTTTTTCCCAATTTGTGAACAACTCTTAGAAAAACTCTTAACAAAAAGGACTTAATTTCTTTGCTGGAAGAGATTTTAAAAGTTATCTAAGGGGCTGAGTATTTGTCTGCATCAAGATACATATTCCTTGATCACCATTTTGAACATCCTGACTACTGCTGCATATTAGTGCACATGTGATCTGTAGAATGAGAAAGTGAGACTGCTGTTACATATGGTTTAAATTACATGTTCTTGTATTGAGCTTTGTGGCCAAATTAATTTTACTTTATACCACATAATTATCATCAACTAAAATTTCCCACTGGGTGTGGTGGCACGCACCTATAATCTCAGCACTCAGGAGGCTGAAGAAGGAGGCTAGGAATTCAAGGACAGCCTGAGCTACATACATAGCAAAACGCTGTCTCAAAAAAATTTTTGTTATCCTTCCTAAGTCTAATAAAGCATTTTTCAAAGCTAGTGCTTTTACCAAACCAAACTAGTACCTATATTAAATTTCACTTTGGTATTTCATCTTGGGAAAATCCAAATTTTCTCTTTCAGGTATTAACTCTGGCTTTCAACTTTGAGACCTCTGAAAAGATGTATTTTCTCAATTATTGAAATGTTTTTTCTTCATTTAAAAACAAATACGGCCTACAATAACCAATAGAACTCCAGTAGTAGCCATTCTTTCTGTCACGAAAATGAATATTGTATGGGTGTTTTTTTAAAAAGGAGTTTTTTAAAAACAATACCTCTTCTCTTAAAATCTAGGTTCTAGGTGGTAGATATTTTTTTAATGTTCCAACTTGTGGGCCGAGAGTTAATTTGTAACTCTTTATACCTCTGTGGCAAAGGACTGAGGCCATCATTTCAGTTTTTTGTGTTAATAACATCTCCATATATTTGTTTGTGTTAAGCCCTCTGTGTTGCCCTGGTTGGCCTGGAACTTTGCAGTCCTCCTGCACCAGCCTCCCTCCTGGGGGCATTATAGGCACTTGCTACCACCCCCAGCTGCCACTCTAGGTTTTGATTAAAGTGTTCTATTTCAATCCTCTTGTCTGCTGTGGATGGTGAAAATAACTGGCAGTGTGTATATGCCTTCTTTGAGCCAGTGCAACCTGAGTTCTGCCACTGTCATTCCTGAAGCTGTTCTTAAGAGAAAAGCTTGTTTCCAGTCCTTAGTCCACTCATCTCAGTCCCCGAAATGCTGTAGTAAATGCTTGGTAAAAAGCACTGGACATACATCCTTTATTATTTCTTTCGGTTAATTTCCTAGGAGTGAATTTTTTGGATCCAAAGATACTTTTTTTTAAGCTCTGTTGTTTGTTGCCGAGTTGACCTCCAAAAGTAGCAGTTCACACTGTCAGCAGCGGTGTATGAGAATACTTTTGTCTAAGGGCAGATTTGAAAGGGGAGGGAAGCTTGTAAAAATCTTAAGAAAATAAAGGAAGGCATTAGTAACTATTCCAGCCAAGAGTGGTACAAATATTTGTCTGGAATGTGCTCCCTACCTTGAATGTTTGTAAAATGATAAAAATAAATAGTAAGTTTTCTTACAAGTTGGTTTGAGTACATACTTATGTATAAGTTTTAACTGTAGCATTACTTTGCTGATTAGGTGATAAGTGATATTTTTTCCCTTTTAGAAAAAAATGATTATTGAAGGTGGACATTTTCCTCTTTCAGTGGTCATTTGTATGTCTTTGTGACTTACCAGTGTGTATAATTTACCTGATTCTAACATCCATACTGGTTTTATGTATTTCAGATTACAAAGTAATCAAAGATAATGTTAAGAGCGGTGCCAGTTTAAGATCCAGAGTATTTGAAGGAAAAATTTCAAAGGCATTTGGAATGAATGCACTTTCTAGTATATATAATTTATTGTATAACTTAATAAAGGAAACTTTTTGCAACACAAACAGTAGCTAGAAATAGGA